GATAAGAACGATGTCACTCTTTGCAATCAGCTAATAAAAGATACATATATATAAAAATACCGTTTGCGGCCTTTGTCAGTCTTAACAAGCTTCTGAAGAACATCAATCTCAATCATAGCTGCATCCCTGTATTTCTTGATGCTTCGGATAATCTTTATAGCCACATATTCTTTAGTTTCACGATCCCAACATTCCAAAACCCGACCAAATGTGCCTACAACACCAGCAACGACACTGAAATGGCTCGATTTTTTGATTCACATAAACATTTTTTTTATCTCGAACACACCATGCCACTTGACAAGCTAACCTTCACCCATCTTGCTTAGTATTTTATCTGTCCAAAAAGCAAAAACCACATTGCAGTGAATAAATTAAAACAAGCAAAAATCATATCATCCTTGATGCAATACTGCTTACAATGAGTACTAGTAAACAATACACATAACATTTAGAAACAATATCAAATTTTCAATTATAGTCTTTGACATAGAAAGGTAACAACTTTATCAATCAAAAACACATCAAAACAAAAATAAAGTAAAAAACTCACATCTAGGAGTGAGATTGTCTCTCAAACTGAAATTATAATGGCCGTCGCGATCATCCTCCCTTTGTGGTGGTGACAAGAAAACCCTCCCATCGCTTCCATGTCTCTGAGACCTTTTAGCCTATACACAAATAAAAAGGAAATTAGAAATGATTTGTTAGTGTTCTCTCCACATTCAAAGGAACGATGAAGAAGAAGAAGAAGACGAACATCTGGTTCAGCTGGGGCCTCGTCCCAGGTCATACGAGGACGTTTCCTAACTCGTTCCTTATCCATCTTCTCGAATTCGTTCACCGACGCGCGGGAAAATCGATCACCAAAACATCAATTAAATGGAATTCCGATGCCAATCTGCAACTAAACGGAGAGAAAATGTATAGACTGTAAATGGCTGAGCACGAGGCGGCGGCGAATCGACGAAGGATGATGATGAAAGGAGATGACTAGGGTTTTCTGATCACAGCCTTACAGGTACAAAACCGTACAACAGATTTGGTTTGTGTTAACCAATTAACCGGCCAATCAATCCCTTCGGTTTCGAATAGCGAAATCTACCAATTTTCATAAGACCCCCACACGGGCTGCTTTAGTGAACTCGGCTGGGCCCAAATTAGCCCGGTAGTTGAGAGACGTTTTAATCACGGCCCAGGCCCATTAAGGAGAAATAAATATTGACGTTCGTTTCAAGGCATATGCCGCATCTATTACTGCAAACACGTCATTATTGTATATCGATTTGCCTTTTTCTTCTCACGTGGCGATCAAACACACAAGAATCCAAGATAAACATCTCTACTCGTCCGTGACACTTTGATGAATATATCTGAGTCGTCTTAGGTTTATCCTAGATAGAACCACGATAAAAATTTGATTTATAATGTATCTTGGAATGATCAAACATGACAACTACAGTCTACATATATACTACATGCACATCCAACACTTCAGAAGAGTATATATATGCAAATATATTTTCTTACTTATGTTCTTCACGTTTATTCTGTCATTTAAGAACAAGAAAATGTACTAAAACATAGTACTATAGTGTATATTCTTAATTTATTAAGGTATTTACTATCGTTGGCATTGTTTTCAACATTACGATACCTGTCAGGTGTCATCGGATGATAAAAACAAAAATAAATCCGTCCAGATTTGACTTTGAGAATAGCAAATACTTCAACTCTACTACTTAAATAACATTTTGGTACAAAAAGAACCTTATCCTCTAGTTTTATATTGTAGATCTCGGTTATATCATTACACATTGAATACACACAACACAGAGACGTGAATACAAGTCAAAAAAGTCGATGAACCCTTCGGGAAAACAAAGGGTAACTAGAGTGGGTTACATAAGTATGTAACCCAAGAAACTAGCACCTATACGTATTACAGAATAAAATCATGTTATTACTAACTTTATTAGGGAACGAAACACACATGTTGTAGTGACAGTCTGATTAGAAAAAACTATTTTCCCACAAATTATTACGGAAAAACTTAATGAAGTCAACGAAACTCGCTCACCACCTTCTCATAATTTAAAAAGGAAAAAACAAACGATAATATAAATGAAAGGAGAGAGAGAGAGGAAACGAAGCGTGAAGGAGTGAAAAGAAGAAGGAAAAAAGTATGTCAGCGACGACTTCACAGGAGAGATCGCCGTTACCTTTGCTGTCTAGAGCAGGAAGGGCTTCAACGGCGCCGTTAGGAACGCCGGAAGAAAGATCTCCGTTATCGTTACTATTCAGAAGAAGGTCAAGCGGAGATGTGAAGAACATAACGTCTGTTTCAAGCAGTCTCTTGCCTGCGTTTGGTACAGTCGTCGAAAACAATCCTTCTTCCAAATTTTTCATCGTTCTTCCTTATGATCGTCGTTACAGGTAACATCATTTTTAATGAACTTCGAAACATTAAAACCTTATTATAAAACAAAGAGTATGAAAATAATATGCATTTATTGGTAGGTTGTGGGAATTGTTTTTGGTGATCTTGGTGGGGTACTCAGCGTGGGCATCTCTCTTTGAGTTAGCGTTTGAGAAAGCTGCTGATGGAGCGTTTCCGACCATTGATCTCGTCGTTGACTTTTTCTTTGCCGTTGACATCGTCCTCACTTTCTTTGTTGCATACTTGGATACTTCTACTTACCTCATCGTCGACGACTACAACCTCATCGCCAGACGGTAAACAATAGTTAATTTTACCATTAGCTACTTAACAGTAATATACTTACATGTATATATATATCGTCATCTGAATAAAATTAAGTCATGTTTGATCGTTAGTATGATTTTCCAAAAAATGTTTCTAAGTACTGGTTATAATCTATATGGTAAAACAAGTAGCTTCATAGTAACCAATAGTTCTTGACCTAGTGGTAATCGAACTCCAACTGGAGTGTCTATCCTGGGTTCGAGTCGTCTTGGCCATTTTCCCGCCTATAACCTTACGTGCCCGGATGAAAGGCCACGTGGGAATTAGTCTAGCCTTACCGCTTTGGATCCTCAGGATTATAAAAAAAAAAAAGTAGCGTCCTGGTTATGATTTATATAATAATATAGTTAAGGGTTGAGAAAAATATTACAATATGTGAAGCAATGATGCAGGTACTTGAAGAGCTTGGCTTTTGTGATGGACGTGGTGTCAACGTTACCGATTCAGTTCATTTATAAAATTGTTACCGGAAATAGCGGAAAAGGCCAAGCTTTCGGCTTCCTTAACTTGCTCCGCCTCTGGCGTCTCCGTCGTGTTGCCGAACTCTTTAAAAGGTTTCTATTTATGACTATATATTATCAAATCATAACATTTGTTTATACACTTTTGGACACTATAATACACATTTCTTAAGTCATAACTGATAACTATATATCTATGTTCTTGTTGTAGGCTAGAGAAAGACACACTTTTCAACTACTTCGTGATCAGAGTCATTAAACTTCTTTGCGTAAGTTCAACGTGACATGTGTGATACACACATGATACACTTGTTAATTATATGGCTTTTTAATCTATATTTTTCTAAAAAATAATTTATATTGTAGGTAGCGATATTTTGGGTACACATTGGGGGTTGCATTTTATTCTGGATAGCTTACCATTATCCAAGTCCTGTAGATACATGGATAGGATCACAAGTTGAGGATTTCAAGGAGAGAAGCATATGGCTAGGCTACACTTACTCAGTGTACTGGTCCATGGTCACACTCACCACTGTGGGTTATGGAGATTTGCATGCGGTTAATACACAAGAGAAGACGTTCAACATGTTCTACATGCTTTTCAACATTGGTCTCACCGCTTATATCATCGGTAACATGACTAATCTTGTTGTCCATGGTGCTCTTCGTACATTCACCATGGTAAGTAATTAATCACTTCTTTCATTGCATGATTTATTTCACTACAACCAAACGGCTCTAGTAACTTAACAACGTGGCTGAATCTAAGAGCATGATTAACCCAAATTCTTAATTTCGGCTAAGAACTAATTCTTATATTTTTTATTTAATAGACGGTTCTTAACTTTTCTTAGTTAAAAGCTGAGAAATAGTTTTTACCCGAAGCTAATAACCCCGAGCCCGGATTAATCATGGTCTAATATTTAAGATGTTGCAAAGAAAAAAAATTCAATAATTTGAAATATGTGCAAGTTATATAAAAATTTGAAAAACCAAGACTAATGTTTTATTCGGTTGTATTCAGACCGGTCCTGCTTTAACAAAGTACTCTTTTTTTTTGTCGGACAGAGAAGTGCAATCAATCATATATTGAGGTACACAAGCAAGAATAAGTTACCGAATACGATGAGGGAGCAGATGCTTGCACATATGCAACTCAAGTTCAAGACCGCAGAGTTAAAACAAGAAGAGGTTCTCCAAGACTTACCTAAAGCCATAAGATCAAGCATTAACGAACATTTATTCCGCTCTGTCATAGAGAATGCTTATCTTTTAAAAGGATTACCTGATGGCCTCATCGTCCAGCTGGTGATCCATCAAACAAGTCCCATTTATTTTTTTGTTACCTTGTTAAAGAAGGCATTGACTAATTGTACTTGGTTGTTCTTTTTGTAGGTTTCACACATAAAAGCAGAGTATTTTCCTCCTAAAATGGAGATAATATTGCAGAATGAGATTCCAACAGATTTCTACATACTTGTATCTGGAGGAGTGGTATGATATATATGTCCTCTACATTCTCAATCTATATATATGTAACTTGACTTCAGTTGATAAAATTAAATTTGAAATCACAGGAGATAATTAGATCCAAGGGTGCAAGTGAACAGGTAAAACTCTAAACCATTAGTTCTAGTCCAAATTAATTACACTCAACACTGATATAGAGAGTTAAGAAATGATTTTATGAATGGTGATGAAGGTATTGGCAAAGTTAGGTCCAGGGGATATGGCAGGAGAGATTGGAGTTGTCTTCAACATTCCTCAGCCTTTCACTGTGAGGACAAGGAGACTTTCACAGGTTATTCGAATCAGTCATCATAAGTTCAAAGAAATGGTTCAATCTGATATAGACGATTCCAAGATGATGATCACCAATTTCATGAAAGTAAATTCATCAAACTCTTCACTAAAACTTAAACAGTTTAACACATCAGAAACTAGTGCTTATATTATAACATTGGTAATGTTTTCTTTTTTTTTGTAGTATCTCAAGGAATTAAATGATGACTTGAAGAAAGAAATCCCTTTTCTTAGAGATTTATTAGCTAATGCAGATGCTCAGGTACATTTTCTCACGGTTATACACCACCTTTATTCTTATGGCTAACGATTATCAATTGGTTTTGAGATTAATTAATTAAATATAATTTTGTGAAAGGAAACGGTTCATACAAACGAAACACCACAAAGTAACAATGAAGAGATAGTTATGGTCTCAAGAGATGAAAATGAAAAGAGTAAGAAGACAACTCTGTAGATTTGTTTATTTTATTCATTTTCTGTTATGTATGTTAGATCATCATCATCATCATACTTCATGGACATTTGAATGCAGAAGAAGAGCATAAAAGGAAAGGAGCTCCCATAAGAGTGATAATCCATGGACATCCTCCTAATCAAGATAACAACAACTATGGTAGACTTGTCATGTTGCCTGATTCTATCCAACTTCTGTTCGACTTAGCTGGTCAGTTTCACTCTTTCACTACTTATTTTACTTATCTTTATGTTTTAGAATAATACTTTATATAAAAAGCGACCGTCCGGTTATGCTTTCCACATTATAATCATATACTAATATCAATATCTGTA